CGTACGGCCCTGATTACTGCTTTGCCTAGTTACTATAGTTCCTTATTCGAATAAGGAACTGGGAACTGGGAACTGATTACTGCTTTGCCTAGTTACTATAGTTCCTTATTCGAATAAGGAACTGGGAACTGGGAACTGGTAACTGCTTTGCCTAGTTACTATAGTTCCTTATTCGAATAAGGAACTGGGAACTGGGAACTGGTAACTACTTTGCCTAGTTACTATAGTTCCTTATTCGAATAAGGAACTGGGAACTGGGAACTGGTAACTGCTTTGCCTATTTACTAGTTCCTTATTCGAATAAGGAACTGGGAACTGGAAACTGGGAGCTAACTTCACTGACCCATTAAATATTGGATTCGGTTACCACAAACAAAAAATTAATGTAATGTTAGCACCGTGTCGGTTTTATATTCTGTCGGTGAGCGTGGCTCAAATATAGCCGTCCACTACCGTTTTGTTCCCTGAGTGACATGTGTTCTCCTATCGTGATCATTAGCTTGTCTGCCCATGGTCGGATTAAAACGGTCCGATGTTTGTTTCTGCAGCGTTGCCAAGGAGATGGCCGAATCCGATCTGCACGACACGACACTTGAAACGAAGAAGAAGCTGGCGCTAAAGGTCACTCGCGAACAAATTTACGCTATGCTGACGAACGTTTTGGTAAAAAAAACTGTCAGATCGCACCGCGTGTCACATGCGGAGGCCTGACGTGAAGGGCGCGTCCATCAGAAGTGCGAAACATTGCTGTGGTCGTTGCTATGTGGTGTATATGTTGATGTGAGGCAGGTGTCTGTGGTTGTGGTGTCTGTGTCTACTGCTGTCCCTATATATACTATGGGTGCTGGCTTCCGAATGTGGCCGGTGTCTGTCCAAAGCTGTGCATTCATCTGGCTACGGTATTTGCCGTTGACAGCACCTGCGCCTCTATGTGATTGGTGACTGTGCCTGTTTCTGCCTGTGTGCGGTATCCTTTCTTTGACTCTATTTCTCTGATGCCAGTGTCTGCGAGCGTGCGTGCGTGCGTATGTGACCGGTGTCTGCGCGCGCGGGTATGTGACCGGTGTCTGCGCGCGCGGGTATGTGACCGGTGTTTGCGTGCGTGCGTACGTGCATGCGCGCGTGCGTGTGCGTGTGTGTGTGCATGCGTGTATGTGACCGGTGTCTGCGTGTGTCGCAGGCCTTCAGCCATACGGCGGAGTACGATGCGGCCATCTCGGACTACTTCCGTCGCGAGTACAGCCGCAATGTCTCTCAGCTGCCGCTGCGTTACGGCCCACCAGGTGCCAGCACAGGTCTACACCACCGCGCCACGTCTACCCCTCACAGGTGATTAGTCACGTCTTTGTATGCATATATTATATACAGTGTAGCCCCGTTATAACGCGATGGTTGGGCCGGGTCCATATCGAAGTTATATATACATGGCTATATAAGAGCAAAAAAGGGGTTCAACAACTCATCGCGTTATGTCCGAATTCGCGTTAAATCGGGGCGCGTCGGGGTTCCACTGTATATATATATCAGTAAAAACATATGGACACACATGGACATGCATGTAGATATGAAAATAAATATAGCCAATAAGAATGAGGTGTCAAATTTTACTCAGCAAGCGTTCGAGAGTATCTTTCTTCATCTGGCTATACAATGCATATACTTGTATGGCCTGATTATGTATATTAGTCCATGCTATAATAGGTGACTATTGATACATGCTTGCCGTTATGCATTGGGATATAAACAGGAGAAAGACCATATAGATATAATATAAAACCTTTTAATGAATGTTAATTGTATATATATATATATTAATATTGCATATTATAAACAGTGAATCATATCCTGACATATATATTTATCATTATATAATTGATGCAATAATAGTCTGGTAACAATCTGTACGGTGATGTTAATTGAACTTTTATAGTCACGTTCCCTTTAGTATAGTTACCTATTACACAAGTACAGTGCTCAAGTTTAAAATTCACCCAATACTTGTTAGAGTGAGTTTGTTATTTGTTTTAAATTGAATTTGCGATTATGTTTAGGTTAGGATCTTTTGTAAGCTACTACGACACGATAATTAATCATTAACTAATAATTAACTGCAATTAAATATTTTGGTGGTGAAATTCTTATATAAATACGTGTCAAAGATAAGAGGCAAACGTTAACGTAATCATCTTAAAAACGTTTGCCACTCACTTTATTTATTGCGCGTCCATCGGTTCAAATCACGTTGATCAGAATTGAAAGAAATTCGGCGGACGCTGGCATAGATTAAACAACGCACTGCCCGTGTTTAACGCAACATGTTGTTAGTCCCTTCGGTGCACATATCGTTGTTAATTTTTGCACCACCATGTATTATCTTTGCTGTTTCTCTCATGAGGAGCAGCACGCCTGTGTTGCCTTCTCCATTTCTTCATTGAATAGCACCGTGCTGTTTACTTCTCTGCCTGTTAAGTACTCCCTGGTTTAACCTCTCTATTTCCCCATTGAACACCACATCCTGGTTTACGTCCTCTATTTCTCCGTTGAACACCGCTCTACTGAATAACATCATCGACGAAGACGTTGCGCGTCTTGTTTCAGTGCGTAACGGCGCGCCGGGGTTCGTGAACCTATGCGACGCGCTCACGCATGGCAGCTGTGAAGGAGCTGAAATGAGCGACGGGCTTCCAGCCGCAGCTTCCTTCAAGCACGTCAGCCGCAGGTGAGCGATAATTATGTCGCGTCCGTCCGCGCGGCGGCACTGACCAATCCGTCGCCGCGGCGAGCGTCTCGCATCCGCCGATATACGTATTGTATATAAGGATATTATATATATATATTTACCTCCGCAGGAGTGGAGCGGAGGTAATGTAATCGGTCTCGTGTGTGTGGTGTGTGTTGTGTGTGTGTGTGTGTGTGTGTGTGTGTGTGTGTGTGTGTGTGTGTGTATGTGCGTGTGTGTGCGTGTGTATGTGTGTGTGTATGTGTGCGAGTGTGCGTGTGTATGTGTGTGTGTGTGTGTGTGTGTGTTGGCGTGTGCGTGTGCGTGTGCGTGTGCGTGTGCGTGTGCGTGTGCGTGTGCGTGTGCGTGTGCGTATGCGTATGCGTGTGCGTGTGTGTGCGGGCATGTGTGCGCGCGCACGTGTGTGTGTGTGTGTGTGTGTGTGTGTGTGGTGTGTGTGTGTTGTGTGTGTGTGTGTGTGTGTATGTGGTGGGTGTGTGTGCGTGTGCATGGGTGATGTGTGCGTGTTGTGGCGTACGTACGTGCGTGTATGTGTGTGCATTGTGATTGTAAGTAAGAGGGTGGTCGTGTGTCCAGCTGATGCTGATCCAACGATAACCTATCGTTCACACACACACACACACACACACACACACACACACACACCACACACACACACACACACACACACACACACACACACACACACCTCTAGCTGATCCAACGATGACACTCGCTATCTGTCGTTCACACACCTCTAGCTGATCCAACGATGACATTGCTACCTGTCGTAAACACACCTCTAGCTGATCCAACGATAACCTGTCGTTCACACACACACACACACACACACACACCACCACACACACACACACCACACACACACACACACAACACACACAACACACACACACACACACACACACACCAACACACACACCCACACACACACACACACCACACACCAACACCCACACACACACAACACACACACACACACACACTCACAACTCACACACACCACACACACCACACACACACACACACACACACACACACCGACACACGCCTTCTCTCACGGCGGCTCGGCCGCAGCAGTCGTCGCGTTCACGTACAGGAATTCGTATCCCAGCTTGCGCATGAACTCGCGGCAGTGCGCGTCGCTCTCGAGAATGCGTATGTTAGTTTCTCCGAGCTCGCTCGTCCACGCGTGCGCCGTCTTCGCAGAGTCCGCGCGGTACGTCAGCAGGTTGTGCTTACCGACGAGTGGCGACGCCGCCGGCGCGTGCGCGTGAGTCGCCACGTACTCCCGCACCTCCGGCGCCACTTCGTGGCCGACGGTGGCGTATAGGCGGCGCGCGGCCGCGAGCGGGTCGGTTGCGACGTCCTCGTAGCGAACCACCTCGTAGGTGGCGCCACCACGGCGGAGGTGCGCCTCGCCGAAGTCGTAGGCGAGCAGCATCTTGGCGCACATGTCGCCGACGTTGCTCGCCAGGTTGCTCCGGTAGAACTTTGAGGGGAAGCTTCTCAGCCAGGAGTTGAGGCGGCCGCGCGGGTCGCGCACGAGGTGCAGGATGTGCAGGGAGGGCAGCGTGGTGGCGCGCAGCGAAGCGACCGTGCGCAGCGACGCCCATAACACCTTGGCGACGCGCAGCGGCGCTGAGCGGCACGTCGCGGCAATCTCTCGCTCGTCGAGCGTGCCGACGCGGCAGCGACTGATGCGCGTCTTGTCGTTGTTGTCGCAGCCGAGGCGGCGGTGCAGCGCGCGCGTGTTTCGGAAGCCGCGCTCGAACTTCGCGTAGTCGGAGCGCGCGTATCGAACGGCGACGCCGATGTGCGCGTACCGGCACGTCAGGAAGCCCTCGAGCGCGTCTGCGCGGCCCGGCAGGTGGGCGATCTCGTCGCCGAGCATGTGCAGCGACTTTGCCTGCCCACTGCTGTAGTGCAGGGGCTCGTCGATGTAGAACGCCGCCGGGTTAACGTTGAACAGCTCACCGATGAAAGTCGAGCCGGAGCGGCGGTAGGCGACGATGGCGACGTAGGTGGCGTTGTCGTCGGCAACGCGCGGCGGCAGCGACGTTCGGTTCGGCGTGTATCTCCTAGAGGCGCTGGCGGCGGCGCCGACGATGGTGGCGGCGTAGTCTGGGGAAGTGGGGAGGAGAGAGAAGAGACGTGAGAATAGAAACAAGAGAGACGCTTGGCGCGTACTGGTTGGTGGCGCGATCGGAGCGTGTGTGATTGCGTAATGACGCGCGTAGTTACGTACGTATTCACAGGTGTATTACGTATTTACAGGTGTGTTACGTATTTACAGGTGTGTTACGTATTCACAGGTGTATTACGTATTCACAGGTGTATTACGTATTCACAGGTGTGTTACGTATTCACAGGTGTATTACGTATTCACAGGTGTGTTACGTATTCACAGGTGTATTACGTATTCACAGGTGTGTTACGTATTCACAGGTGTATTACGTATTCACAGATGTGTTACGTATTCACAGGTGTATTACTATTCACAGGTGTGTTACGTATTCACGGTGTATTACGTATTCACAGGTGTGTTACGTATTCACAGGTGTATTACGTATTCACAGGTGTGTTACGTATTCACAGGTGTATTACGTATTCACAGACGTGTTTCGTATTCACAGGTGTATTACGTATTCACAGGTGTGTTACGTATTCACAGGTGTATTTACGTAATTGCACACTATAGCAATTACAGCTAATTACTTAATTACAGGTGATGGGATGGTTGGCAGGTAAATAATACGTGGGTAAAAAATGGTGCTTTTTGCCAAAAATGCGTTTACGTTTAGAGAGCTCGTCGTTGATTTATTATTTTTTATTTTGCTGCGCGCGCGGTTATTGTTAATAACTCTGGCTGTAGACAGAAATGGCGAGGAGGTTACCTGTGCGAGTGTTTACATGCAGGTTCGTGCAAACAGCAGCGAGTATGACATCGCCACGTATCACACCCCCTGAGCAAGTAAACTACGGCTTTAATCTCTTTACTTAAGATGCTGTTATCTAAACTTTGGATGTTTGCACGAGTGGGTTTATGTTTGCCGTGGCCGCAGCGCATTCTTTTTCTGTGTGCGGCGCGTCTGTAGGCGATCACGTGATATCCGGTGGTGGCGCAGAGAGCAGACGTGATACTGTTTATGCTGTATATTTCGCGGTGGTTTAATTTTCGCGAATTTCGCGAACGCGTCCCCGACCGCGAAAATAACAACACGCGAATCATTCATACCGAATAATACAGAATAATACATAATTCACCGACCGCGAAATTAGCCACTCGCGAAATTGTCCGTCAAGTCTGAATTCGCGAAAATACTGTACGCGAAAAATACGGTTTATACAGTAACCTATATATATAAATATATATATATATATATATATGACCAGGAGCGTATAATGACAAATATGCTTGACATAATGATTATGTCATAATGATTATGTCATATGCTTGACATAATGACTAATATATATTTGTCATTATACGCTCCTGATATGACGAATCAGCGACAACAATGTTCAGTCCTTCAGAGACGTGTGCATCAACACCTGTAACATGTGCATCAACAGCTGCTACTGACGCTAT